GGCAGCAAGACCACACTTCCCCAGGACAGAAGCCCTCTGTGTCTGGTGCGCCAGACATCAACGCACATTGACCCGTAACTCCAAGAATATCAGCAAAGATGCCTCCAGGGGACCTTCAAGGACAGGACGGCTCCTTGTGCCTGATTTCCAAGTTTGGGATAATTTTATTAACATTGGGACTGATGCTCTCTCCCTCCATCCGGCCGTGGAGGCCTCTCCTCCAACCTCCCCAGCTGAGCCTCCCCCGCTTCAGCCCCAAGGCCCGGATCTCCACCAAGTGAAGTACGAATTGTGGGGTGTGGCTCACAGGGCATCAGGCAGGAATCTGCCAGCTTTGAGTTCTGTCAAAGGGTGGGCAGAGTTGCTGCTCACTCCTTGTCCTTCCCCTTCCACCTCTTCCTCTTACTTCCTAGGGGACAGGGGCTGAGGATGCCGCCCACTGGGCTTTCTCCATTTTGTGTCCTCCTAACCAGGCTCGGGTGCTCCTGCCCAGCTGGGTCTGGGGTCGGGGCTGGAAGTGTCTCAGAGCCAGGCGACATTAGGGAGCCTGATCTGGGCATAGCCCACTCCCCTTCTGCCAACGTTGGTGCCTCCAGGATGGTGGCCCTGGGTCTCCTTGCTCCAGATTCTGGCCCTGTTCTCGTGTGGGTCTGAACTCAGAGAATATGGGCTATGAGTTGACCTGCCCCTAATACTCAGGTAGGGTACACCTGACCCTCACACCACTGCAACCCTAGCACAGGGACCATGGGCCAGAGTCCAGCTGTGTCCAGCTGGCCATGGGGCCTGTGGGTCCCTCCTTGCTCCCACCAGGGGCATGGGCTCCTCCCTGACCCTCACCAGGTCCTGTGGGTTCAAGCTAAGTCCCCCACACTCCGCTCCTCCCACAGCCCAGCTCCAGCTCTCTGCCTCCCCCAGATGAGAACAGTCCTGCCTCATCTCAGCTCTGCCTGCCTCTTCAGGCCATTCATGGTGCAGCTAAAGGAATCCTTCCCATCTGCAGGCCTTCCCTTCCTCCTTGAGGGCCAAGCCTCCCAGCCCAAGGTCTGTTTTGGCTGGTCGAGTGCCCCCTTGGGCCTGCAGGTCAGTGTGGGAGCAGAAGCCTCCTTCGTGCCCTCTGCTACACCGGGTCCTGCCCCTCCCAGACACCCGTTACAGGGGGCTGTGGCTGGGAACGGGCGTGCCCGACAAGCAGGTGGTAAAGCTCTGGCATGGGAAGGAATGGGGTCCAAGACAGTGAGGCTGTGGCCCGGGTCAGGGGGTGCCATCTGCTCAGCCTTCCTGGTCTCCGATGGAGGTGCAGGGTGACATTTCTTGTGAGAATATGGAACGGAGGGGGCTGCTTATTTAATGAGCTCAGGCTAATTAGACTTCAACAGTACACGTTCCTTAAGAAATGTGGCCCACTCAGGGTCTCTGATGACACATCTCCTGGTGGCCACAGTGAATAACAAGCCCTGTGCTGCTTTCTCAGAAGCCGTGGTGCGGCTGCGGCCCTGACATCTCTGTCCAGAGGCCTGCAGGGCGGCCAAGGCCATCACTCCACAGGGCCGCAGCCCTGTCATCAGGGGGACTTTGAGCTGTGACTCCGGGCCTCTAGCCAATCAGATGTGTCAGGAGCGGTGACTGGCCAGATGGAAAGAGGAGAACAGGGAGATGAGCCAAGTTTTAGAAGGTGGAGGCTGGTCAACTTACCTCAGATGGAAGAATCTGGGCTGTGAGTAGGGTTCCTACAACAGCCACTGTGAAGAAGGAGACGGGGGGATAGCAAGTCCCACGTGCGGCCCAGCCCTCAGGCCCGACCAGGGCTCAGCCAGCTGAGAATCACCCCAGCCGGGGGGAGGCAGCACTGTTTCTAGAACAGGCGAGAAACTTTATGTGATCCTCCAAAAGTCAGAATTACATAGAGAGAAGAGAATGCAAAATCAAGACCATCTTTGGTTGTGATAAGGGGTTCACTGTGGTACCTGTGTGGGAACTCTTTAAATTGCACATAAAACAGCTCAGGTTTTGTTGTATGTCAATTATACCTCATTAAAGTTGCAAAAAAAAATCAGACTTGGGGCCAGCCCAGTGGTATAGCAGAAAGTTCGTGTGTTCTGCTTTGGCGGCCTGGGGGTTCACCGGTTCTGGTCCCAGGTGCAGACCTACGCACCACTTGTCAAGCCATGCTGTGGCAGGAGTCCCACATATAAAGTAGAGGAAGATAGCCATGGATGTTAGCTCAGGGCCAGTCTTCCTCAGCAAAAAAGAGGAGGATTGCTGGTGGATATTAGCTCAGGGCCAATATTCCTCAAAATGAAAAAAGAAAGAAAGAAAAAAAAATCAGACAGTTTTGCACTTTGGAATGTTATATCAGATTAGCCTTGAGATTCTAAATTCAAATGCACGCTTAATAAAATATTTAAGTTTATGACTTAAAGCAGAAAAGTAGGAAGATGAACTTGTTAAGAACTCAGAATTCTGAAAGCTCTAGATTCAGCACATTTTTAGATCTGATTTCATTATATGTGTAAAGATTCACTCGTTCACACACAAGTGTCCTCCGCACCTTCCATGGGCAGGTTCCACAGTGAACGTTTTAGTGCGGGAGAAGGACCACAACAATAGTGAATAAGTAAATCACATGGTTCTTAGAAGATGAAAAGTGCTGTGGGGAGAAACAGCAAGGGAGCCGGTGGTCAGGAGATGCTGTGCCTGGGGGTGACACTGAAACAAAGACTTGAAGGAGGTGAAGGAAGTGAGCCATGTAGATGTGGGCCTGTGGGAGTGCTCCAGGAAGGGGGACAGCAGTGCAAGGGCCCTGGGGCAGGGGTGTGCCTGGTGCGCCCCAAGCACATCAAGGAGGCCAGTGTGTTGGAGCCAAGCGCTTAGGGAAGGAGGGAGGGACAAGAAAGGAGATGAGAGGGCCCGTGGCATGGCCAGAGCCCACTGTGCTGTGGCCAGCTTACACTCCTTCTATCACTCTGAGAGCGATGGGAAGCCATGGGATGGAAGGTTTTGTGTGATCACTCTGGCTCCTGGTCAATAACAGATTATGGGAATGGGGCAGGATGGAAGCAGGACCCCCAGGATGTGTCTTCAGTGGCCCTGGTGAGAGGGGGTGTGGCCCTGGACCAGGGTGTACAGGCATAGCAGTGAGGACTGTGGACATTCTTGGGAAGGTTTTTTGTTGTTGCTGCTGCCCTTCGACAGTTGAAGGGCTTAAAAATAAAACCAAGTATGTCAAACATTATAGATGTCGTTTTAAAAACTTAAGGAAGTTTAAATTAGTTTGTAAATGGGACCAAATATTAACCAAAGGCCCTTTATAAGTGACTGTTATAATTTCATAAATCGAATATTAAGGTTTGTGACTAGAACATATATGTTTTGCAGCCATGTTATTAGGTGCCTACAAGTTTAAAATTATTTTCTTTTACAGTGAATAATAGTGAACCTACTATTATCTCTGGAAACAGTTTGCCTATAAGATTTCTTTGTTAATATGTTAATAAAATTGTTAACCTGGCCACATCTGTTTCCTTTTAGTCAATATTTGTGTGGTATGTTTCTTGCCATCCTCTTATTTTCAAATTTCCTGTATCTTTTATATTTCAGGCGATTCTTGTCTTCTGTAAGCCACATAAAATCAGGTTGCTTTTAACCAGCCTGGCAGTCCTGGTCATTTAGCCCCTGGACTTCGAACCTCTGGCCACAGGATTGTGAGAGAATAAGTTTCTGTTCTTTTAAGGCTCTCAATTTGTGGCGATTTGTCACAGCAGGAAACCAAGGCAGGCGCTCCTGTTCTCCGGGTCCGTGGCTGGCCTCCTTAATGACTTCGAATTTAGTTCCTCCTGTCAGAAGCAGGAAGACAGCTGGTAACATGGCGTGAATCCACTAAAAGAAAGTGAGGATTCTAGTACTGTCTGCTAATGTCAAGAAGTCAGGAGACGCATATACCATTTAATACAGGCCTCTGGAGGGGACGGGGATTTTCACATTCCGTACTCTTTGTTTCAACAAATGTGGTTTTCTTTTTATAATACCAATTTTATTTATGCAAGGAATGAGTCAAGATATAAACTTAAAATAATAAAAAGAAAGAAATTTAAAACTCCTTGTTTAGGGTGCGGGGGGAGGGCAAAAGGGGTGAAGGGGCACGTGTGTGTATGCTGACAGACGGCAACTAGACTTTGGGTGGTGAGCATGATGTAGTCTACACGGAAGTGGAAATATAGTGATGTACACCTGAAATTTATATAATGTAATAGACCAATGTGACTTCAATAAAAAGATAAATTAAAAAAGTAAAATAAAACCCCCCGTTTCTTTTTTGCGTGTTAACAATTTTGGTGCCCATGAGATTTTTTGTGGGGGAGGGAGGTAAGATTCATATCTAAAACATTTTTGTTTTTTCTACTCTTTCACTTTTTTGTTTAAAAATGTATTTACTTTCTTCTTAATTTTAGTTAACTTATGCCTGTTACAATGCTGTGTGTAATGGTAAAAATTTGGGAACCATCTAAATCTTCAACAATAGAGTACTGGTTACTAAATCATACTCGAGGCTATAGTGGCCTCACTGGGTTAAGGGATAGTGTCCACGAGTTCATTTTTGTAGAAAATAAAAGACGCATCTCTTTCACAGGAAAGCACCCTGAGCGAACACTGTCCGAAAGCAACGGTGATTACCCCCGGGTAGTCTGGACTATCACTATTTTATGTTATTTCGGAATTGACCACAACATTGCTTTCCGAGTTTGCTAATTTTGCAAACTGGTAAATGGAAAGTGAAAGTTTCCAGTCTTCAGTTCATGTTATTGTGACTCTGGTGCATCTTGTAAAGCGCTGGACATTCAGGGGATTTCTGAATATGCACCCCTGGGGCAGGGATGCTGCCCAAACCGGCCACCCCCTCCCAATCTTCTTATCGTCATCGTTCTGTTTTGTTTTCCTCCACTCGCTGGCCTTGGGAAAAGGAAACTGAAACTGGAACCCAATTAGGCTGCCGGCATGCTCGCCCCGACACCGCCCCCTGACGTGTTCGCTCAGACTTATAAAGCGGTTGAGCCTCCGAGAGTTGCAGAGGGAGCTGGAAGCTGAGCCCAGAGGACTCGTCAGTGCCTGCGGAGAACTTGACGCTAGAGTCCACAGCCATGGTGAGCTGGGGTTGACAGGTGGGGACAGGTGGGCTCCTCACCAGCTGACTTTCCTACTCCTGGTGGGGTCTCACGGGCTTGGAGCACCTACTGTGTGCCAGGCAAGCAGAGCTGCTCACAGTGCCCCAGGTTCCTAAGCTGGAGGGGAAGGACAGGCCTCCTTCTGACTTCAGGGTCTGGGGCTTGGAAGGCAGGTTCTGCCCAGTAGCCAACCCCGAAGTCCCTTGGGGTCGGCACAGGGGGGCATCTTAGTGGGTGAAGGGTGGCGATGTGATAGTCCTGGGAGGCTGGCCATTCTTCTAGAAAGGCTCTCCTGAGCATTTCCAGCGCCTGGTGTCCCTCTCCTGGAGGGGGGGAGTATGGGGGGGAGAGAGCAGCGTCCAGGGCCCTAGGAGGGTGCCCCGCGACTAACGTAGTGGCCCCAGGACTGGTGCAGGATCTGAGTTTGTGTGATGCCCACAGGGTGGGGAGCTGAAGGTGAAGATGCTGGGGGGTGAATTCCTGGTGCCCCTGAAGGACTCCATGCTGGTGTCGGAGCTGAAGCAGCAGATCGCCCAGAAGACAGGAGTGCCCCCCTTCCAGCAGCGCCTGGCCACCCACCCAGCCGGCATGGTGCTGCAGGACAGGGTCCCCCTCGTCAGCCAGGGCCTGGGACCCGGCAGCACGGTCGTGCTTGTCGTGCAGAACTGTGACACCCCCCTGAGCATCCTGGTGAGGAACGGGAAGGGCCGCAGCAGTGCCTATGAGGTCCGGCTGACGCAGACGGTGGCAGAGCTCAAGCAGCAGGTGTGCCTGCGGGAGAGCGTGCAGGCCGACCAGTTCTGGCTGACTTTCGAGGGGAAGCCCATGGACGACCAGCTCCACCTGGGGGAATACGAGCTTACAGCCGGGTGCACAGTGTACATGAACTTGCGCCTGCGGGGGGGCGGGGCAGGGCCATGGGGGCCGCGCTAAAGGCCCCCCACCCAAGTCCCTGGCCAAGTGTGGGTAATAAATGCCTATGCAATGCTAAAATGCTGCCTCTGTCTGCCCTCCCCCTTTCCCCACACCTGCAGCGGCCAGGCCTCTGTCCTCACCCCTGCTGGTGAGGTTGGGGGAGGGGCAGAGGAGGGAGCAGAATAAGGGATGGAGGCTGGGTTGCCAAGTTAAGGAACAAGCCCTAGTGGGATCAAAATAGTGACCCCCCCCAAGAAATTGAAGACGTGTCCCCACACCTTTGGGAAATTTACTTCTAGAGAAAGAAGAGGCACATTTGCTGGAGCCCATCCCTGGCTCCAGGTTGAGCCACTGCACAACTGGTCCCCACCCCCCACATATTGGTCAGCAGACAGCACAGGGAGGGGAGGCCTGATTCCAAAGACCACAAAGTGAGGTCGCCACTGGGCCCAGCGCCCTGAAAGTGGTGGGGGTATGAGTCTCTAGGGCCTGCCTGGGTGGGTTGTGAGGGAGGCTCCTCCACACCAGCTGGGGGCTCTGGGAGCCTTGGCCCTCCAGGACACACCAGCCTGCTCTGTCCAGCCTGTACTGGTCTGCAAAGTGGTGGGGACAGGGCCTTGAACACACATATCACAATGGGGGTGAGCTGCCGAATGGAGACTGTTCGTCAACAAATACAGTTCCCTTCAGGGTTTCACTTAATGGAGAGGCCATGGTCAGCAGGTGAGGGGGCACCTGGAATGGGGGTTCCTCCACTCCACACAGAAGGTCTTGTCCCATATGGAGGACACCTAGTTTGGTGCTGTCTACACCTGCTTCCATACCAGATGCTTCCTTCTATACCAGTTTCCCAAAAGAGGCCCATGAGAGCCAGGCTGAGTCATCCTTGGACACAGGCAAGATGGGGGGGACGGGACACAGAACGTACACCTCTCTCGACCAAAGTCCATGACTCTGGGCATGCTCAGACCTCAGCTTTTAGACTCTTCAGGGGGATTTGGCTGGAGACCCAGAAGCCCCCTTTCTAGTCTGTGGGGGTCTGTATCTGTGCTGGGGGACCCCAGGTCTGGCTTGCCTGTAACCCATCCGTGTAGACATGCAGCTGTGTGTATGCATAGGGGGTGCTCTCCTGGCTCCAGCCTCATTCTCTGGGCTCCCACCCTCACCTCTTAGTCGCACTGTAACTTAGCAAGTGTGAGCACACAGGTCGGTGCCACGCTCCTTTCCTGAACCCCTACCAGGGTCTGGGGGAGGTGGGGTCCTCCTCCGGAGGCGGCTCATCCTTCACTACTTCCGGCTCAGAGATCTCTAGCTGGCCTGGGGCGGGGGCACGGAAGATCTAGCCCTGGAGGGACAGAGGGGTCTCCGGGCCTCCTCTCCCTCCTCCTCGATCTTCAGCTAGGCCGGGCACTAACTTGGACCCTCTGGAGCTCGGTTTACCGCGTGTTCTTAGCCCGGCCATAGGGAGGAGCGCCTGTCTGGGAGCTGGGGAGGGGCGTGGCTGGCCGTCCGCCGCTGACTCGAGCTTGCGGCCGCAGGACGGCAGGGGGAGCCCTCCGCCCTGCAGCGGGGCCGGAGCCGACCCTGGACCAGGAGGTGGGCGGGTCCGCGCTCCGTCCTGACCAATGACCGCGGCTCCCGGCCAGCATTGGTCCCAGTCAGCCAGGGGCGCGGCCTCGCCTGGACCCGCTGAGGGTCCCGGCTCCGCCGAGGTTCCGTCCCCAGTGCCAGCGAGGGCCTGGGGTACCCCATCGGGTTACTAGCGGCGGGGGAGGGGCGCAGCCCTGCAGGGCCCGAGGGGCGGCGGGGTCCCAGGATCTGACAGCCCCTCCCCGCCGCTAGGAATCCCCGCCGCTGCGGCCCCGGCGCAGTCTGAAGCCCCTTGGAAGTCCCGTCACGTCGTCCAGATTATGCATTAACCCGATTTCAGCCGCATTTCCTGGGGGGGGGAAGAGTCCGCGCGGGCGGGGGAGGGGCGTCCGTGGGGGAGCGCCGCAGCAGAGAGCGCGCCTAGGGCCCGCCCCGCCCCCCGCCCGGTCCGCCCTGGCCAGTCTCACCACCCACCTTGGCCCGACCCCGCCCGGCTCCCACCCTTCCCAGCCCGGCCTCCGGCTGGCGCCGCACTCCCAGCGCTTTGTTCGCGGCCGCGCGGGTCGCAGGGCGCCGGGCGGGCCGAGGGCGGGCACGGGCGGGGGGGGGGGGGGGTGTGCGGAGCGGGGGCGGAGCTGCTCCGTGTCCCGCCCCCACCCCGCCCCCGCCCCGCCCCCGCGCCGCCCGCGCGCCCGCCGCCTCCCGGGAGCTGCGTCCCGTCCTGTCCAGTCCCGTCCCCGGCGCGGCCCGGCCCGCGCGCTTGCTCTGGCCACCTCCGCCGTCCTCGGCCCGCGCCATGGCCAGCCTGCGGCGGTCCGGCCTGGCCCAGCTGCAGCCGCTACTGCTGCTCCTGGTGGTGGCCGCGCGCGCCCTGCCCGGCGCCGACGGGACGTGCCCAGAGCGCGCGCTGGAGCGGCGGGAGGAGGAGGCGAACGTGGTGCTCACGGGCACGGTGGAGGAGATCCTCAACGTGGACCCGGTGCAGCACACGTACTCGTGCAAGGTGGGCCCCCGCCGGGACCCCCGGGACCCTGAGCTCCCCCACCGAACCCTCCTGGAAGCCTGGGCTGGCGGCCTCTTGCCCCGCGATCCCGCCTCTAGCCCGGGGGCCCTCTCCTCGCGATGCCGGCCGCCCCGCTGAGACCCCCGCCCCAGGCCGTGGGAATGAGCCCCAGACAGCTCAGTCACTCCCGCTCCCGCTCCCTTGGCGACGCCGAGCCCCCGGGTGGGGCACCGGGTCCCAGAAAACTCGCGAGCGCAGAGGGAAAGTTCTGCGGTGCCCTGCAGTACCCCCTCGCGGGTTGCAGCCCGGAGAACCGATTGTGGCTGCCCCTCCACCCGAGGCTCACTCCCTTATTGGAAACAAGTGCGCCCGCCCCCCAGGGAGAATGTATGACTACCGCTCCGTCTCCCCACTAGCCAAAAAAAGGAATAGGGACCTCGGGAGGGGACGCTTTCTGCTTCGGGTGGAGGTGGGGGTTCGGCCTCTGGTCAGTGCTGTCGCCCCCTCCCCAGAGGCCTATACCAGGCGAGAGGGGGTGGTCAGGAGAGAGGGGGAATGCACATCTAATCTCGCAACCCCGGGGATCCTGGTGGGGGTGCTGCAGGGACTGGGTGTGGGGGAAGGAACAGAGAAGTGGGCGGGGCGGTAGCCGAGCCTTAAGTGGGGTGGGGGCAGGTGCCCCATCCCGCTCCTGGGAGAACTGGATCTCCCGGGGGTACAGGGAGGGAGGACTTGCCCGACCCTCTGTTTTGGATCTGGGAGCCCCCTCGGGTAGGTATGGTGGGGTTTTCCCCACAATCTGTTCCTAGGGAGGGCTCGGGGGAGCCGAGGCCCGTCCCTCCTCTGGCCGCTAAAACCACCTCCCTGACCAGAAATCGGACCATTCCTCCTCCGTGGAGATGGGGGGGCGGGGTGGCAGCTTCTTTCAGATTGGCCTGTGCAGGCTACAGCTGGGGTCCCCGCCGGCCCCTCCCCTCCACTTCTGCCAGGGCGCTTTGCCAAGTCCCTGCAGGATTTTCCCGACTTCCTCCCCGCTGCTCCTGGGTGTGGCTGGGGGTGGGGGTGGGGGCGGGGGGGGGGGGGGGGAGGAGATGAAAAGCGCCCAGCCCTCCCCCTGCTGGTTATGCCTTCTAGAGCCTACTGTGTGTCTGGAGGTGGGGGGAAGGGGTTGGACAAGGCTCCACCTGGACCACTGAAGGGTGTAGGGCTTCCTGCAGATGCTGCACCCGAGGCTCCCAGCAGAGGCCAAGCAGGTGGACAGGCCACCATCGTCTCTCATCCCTGATTCCAGAAGTCCCAGCCCCTCAGAGCTCCTGAAGAATGGGCTTCTTCTCAGGGACTGCGGGGCTCATGTCCTCCGGGTGCATGACCCTGTGGACCTGTTCCTTTGAGGAGCCCACACGGCCTGCAGCTCCTTCGACCCTCCTGGGCACACCCTACCCCCAACCCCGGGTCCCCCCCGGAAGGCTTTGGGCGTCCCAGGGCACAGTTTGTCAGAGCAGGTGCCCTCAGGGCCCCAAGAGCAAGAGTGGAGGGAGGGGCCGCCCTGTGCTGCCCAAACTTGATTTTGTGGTTCGAAGGCTGCCTGCCTGCACTCACAGCAGGAGCCTGGCAGGAGGAGGGTCTTTCACCTCCTGGTGGGGAGGGTGTCTTAGCCCACCCACAGGGCTAGGAGGAGCCAAGCTGGCCCAGAGCCCTGAGCTCAGAGCCCATCCTCCTGGAACTCCACCGTCCATGCTGGCTGCCCTCGGCTCTGCCCCGGGGGGTCTAGAGTCGTGGCAGGCAGATGGGGAGAGTGGGGGTGTGGAAGCTGGGCATCGCAGGCCAAGTGGGCTCCCTTGTCGTATCCAGCCTGAGCTAGATGGACGTCATTGCAGTCAGGATGGCTGGGCTCAGTTAGACCTGGGCAGTGGGAGACGGGGTGTGTGCAGAGCCGCATGTCCTCATGTGTGACGTGCATGAGCAGTGGCATCTCTTGTGTGTGCCTCCCTGCAGCCGCCTCCTGAGGGGCTGCCCCAGAGGCCTCTGCACAGCTCTGCCAGGGTTTGAGTCTACTCTGGACATCTGGCTTGAGCCACTGAGGTGGGAAGGCACCCGGTCTCATGTTTGCCTCTGTGCTCTGTGGCCCCCTCTCCCCACTGGGAAGAGAACCACTGATACCTGCCCCCCACCATCCACCCCAGGTTCGGGTCTGGCGGTACTTGAAGGGGAGAGATGTGGTGACCCAGGAGAGCCTGTTGGATGGCGGCAACAAGGTGGTGATTGGTGGCTTCGGAGACCCCCTCATCTGTGACAACCAGGTGTCCACTGGGGACACCAGGATCTTCTTTGTGAACCCTGCACCCCCATACCTGTGGCCAGCCCACAAGAATGAGTTGATGCTCAACTCCAGCCTCATGCGCATCACCCTGCGGAACCTGGAGGAGGTGGAGCACTGTGTGGAAGGTGCGTGGGGCTTGGTGCAGGAGCAGAGGGCGGCCGAGGT